GTTTGTCTTATACATGGGAACGTCTTATACATGGGGAAATACGGTACTTATCACTAGCACCAGGGTCCAAGAGGTTTGGAGGGGGGGCAAATCTCTTGGAGGTCCTGCATATACTGGCAAAAGCAACAGGAGAGAGTAGGGTTTGAGCTTTTTAACATGCTGCCATTGAGGACCTCAGTTGTGCTAAGCATTTTACCTGCATTACGTCCTTTCATACAGAGGGTGCCAAAAAAAAATGCATACACATTTTAAGAAAGGAAAAAACTGTATTACAATTGTAATGCTCAATATACACCAATAACAAAAGATGAATACAAGTCACGTTTGACTTCTGCAATTACAAGAGGTGCGCAAAGTGGCGACCATCAGCGTCCAGACACTTCTGATTATGGCAAACTACTGCTTGAGCAACGTTGACCGCAGTGCCCACTTGTATACATTGTTTTTGGCACCCTCGGTAGTTATAAAAACCCTATGATGTTGTTATTCCCATTTCACAGATATTTGCTTGGGAAGTTCAGTCAGGTGACGTCACTTGCCAAATATCACACACTCAGTCAGAGCCTGGACCCAAGGCCAGACTGGAAACCCATTTTGCCTGACCAAAGAGCAGTTAAATTAGAATTTCTGGGTTAGGGATGGCATTGGTATTTGAAAAAAAACTTTCCTGGTGATTCTAATAAGCACCCAGGACGCAGAATCACTACTTTAGGCTTATATATCATTTTACACTTATCAAAACTCTTTTACATTAATTATCTCACCTGAGCCACACAGCAGCGCTGAGAGGGAGGCAGGGGTGAGGTGGGGGAGGGGAAGGGGGAATCATTGTCTCCTTTTTAGAAAGGAGTAAAATACCACTAAGAGAGGAGAATGCAGACTCCCCCTGAACTCATCTCCGAGCCCCTACCAAAACCCCCGGGGCCTGGTTCCCTCCACTTCTGAGCGATAGGGAAAATAGTTTCCTCACTTCAGCTCACACCCCAGGCCGGCATGTGGGCCCTGGGGAGGAGAGTGATGGCCCCACCTGTGGAGTCTGGCCCAGCAGGGTGGAGGCAGAAGGCAAGTTATTTGAGGTGAACAAGAACAGCTCACTGGGGATTTGAAAATGAGCGAGGGGGCTGGCGAGGGGGCTGGCAAGGGGGCAGGGGAGGCACTTCGTGGGAGAGGTTTCCCTGGCAACTGTCCTTGATTAGAAAATGGACTTTGTCTCATGGAGTTTTTCTTCAGGATCATGAAAAGTTTCCAAGAAATAATAAGCTATGTGGGCTGAGCCCCTATGAGGTGGGTTCCACAATAAACCCGTTTCTGAGATGAGAAGGCTGAGACACTTAGGTTAAGAACCTGCCTCAGGTTGCTCAACTAGTAAGGATCAGAGCTGAGATTCAGCCGAGAGCGTGCCTTTGAACATGTACTCGTAACCCTTTGGCTTGTCCACCCCTGTATATAATCCTAGGTAACAAAAGTGAACACATGGGCAGCCCTCATTTCAAGTGGATGCAGCTACTGGCTGGCCTGTGTCTGATGAACAGGGAGCAGCTGCTGCCCCAGATGAAAGAAAGTGGATGGGGCTGTGGGGGGAAGAGGCAGCTTGTCCTTATCACAAACGCTGAGTGCCTGAAGCCATGAGCCTCTGAGACCACAGGGATGATCTGCTTTCAGAGACCATAGATAACGTTCTGGGTACAGGTGGCTGAAATACGAGGTCTGACAATTAAGTTAGTGAACTTGTTGCAATGATGTTTCTAACTTTTTCCGATATCAGAGGAATTATTCTTTATGAATTTGTACTAACTGGACAAACAGTTAACCAAATTTACTATTTGGACATGCTGAAAAGGCTGCGTGAGAAAGTTAGACGACCTGAACTTTTCACCAATAATTCATGGCTCTTGCATGATGACAATGCACCAGCTCACACGGCACTTTCTGTGAGGAAGTTCTTAGCCAGTAAACAAATAAATGTATTGGAACACCCTTCCTACCCACCTGATCTGACCTCCAATGACTTCTTTCTTTACCCGAAGGTTAAGGAAATATTGAAAGGAAGACATTTTGATGACATTCAGGATGTCAAGAGTAATAAGACGACAGCTCTGATGGCCATTCCAGAAAAAGTTCTAAAATTGCTCTGAAGGGTGGACTAGGCACTGGCATTAGTGCATAGCTTCCCAAGGGAAGTATTTTGGAGGTGACTGTAGTGATATTCGGCAATGAGGTATGCAGTACTTTTCCCAGGATGAGTTCGCTAACTTAATTGGCAGACCTCGTAAGAAGCTGTTGCCCAATGTGAGGAGAACCCAGGACGCTCCTTGAAGATTTCCCAACCAGAAGGAGGCAGGAACCCAGGAGAAAGAGCTGCTGGTGTTCCAGATCCAAGCAAAGATGTTTTGTGGCAGACCCATGGCCCAGAACGGCACAGGTCCTCCACAGATTGAGCAATGAGGCCAGAGAAGGTACGTCTCTTCATCCATGGCCAGCACTCTGCCCAACAAAATAGTTGACAGAAAGCTGACTGCCCCAGTGGGTCAGAATGTTAGTCCCCAGAATGGCGATTGTGGCCTTCCACAGGCAGAAGGGTGTGCAGCTCAGCTTTGTACCCTGAGGACTCTGCTTCTGACCCAGGGCCTCCGAGTGGCTTTGGGGATGGGAAACAAGGCTTCCCCTTCACACTGGGTGCAACATCTGCGTTCACAGCCTGCATTCCTGTCCACCCTGGCGCTCTGGTCTCAGATGACCCTTGAACAATGTGAACGTTGGGGGCGTCGGCTGCCCTCACAGTTGAAAATTTAAGTATAAGTTGGCCCTCTGCACACATGGATTACCAGCCACAGAGTTGACCCTTGAACAACTTGGGTTTGAACTGTGAAGGTCAATTGAAAAAAATCTTCATATAAGTGGACCTGAGCAGTTCAAATCCATGTTGTTCAAGGGTCAACTGAACTTTGTGCAAGATACTGCACCAAGTCCTCCTCCACTGCCATCACCTCCTTCCATAGCTCAGGCCATTCTCTCCACCAGGAGGCATAATAACTGAACCTCTGCTGATTCCAACAAGAGCCTTAAATTGGGAGCCGGACACAGTCCTCTCCAACCAGCATGCATGGATTTGATAGTCCCCTGGGTCACACCTGATGACCCACCCACATTTATTTTCCTGTTCCCTCTGCCCAGAACACTCCTCACCCCACACAACTACCACTGACCAAGCACAATCAGGCTGTGCGCTCACGGAGGGCAGAGACTATAGCTCACTTATCTCTGTCTTCCTTACTGCACCTACTTGTAGCTCCTTTCCCTAGGTGTCCACTAAGTAACTTCATTCATTCACGAGACGTTTACTGAGCACTGCCCGGCTGAGTGACTAGGAGCTGAGCCAGGAACTGCATGTGTGGCGAATTGAAGGGGATGAGGTATTCACGTGTCTCTACCCCGCATTTGTTAAAATTGATTTTCTCCCAACTGGCCATTGCCTGCGTTCTTTCGTGACCTCAGAGCAACCCTGGTGGTTCAGATGTTGAGCTCTAAGAGCTTAACTTCTCCATGACTCACAGGCACTGACACACCAGACCCTCAGGGTAAGGAGCAGGGTTCACAGGGGCAGGTGTTTGGCTATTCACGGACCACAGTAGGGCCTGCAGAGTGATGGGACTGCACGTGCCCCTGGGGCCCATTGCTCTCTGTCCCCGGTTTCCTCTCATGGCGAGAGTTGTCAGTCCTAGAAGGAGCCTGCAAGTCCATCTATTTTAAGCCCTTCATCTTGCAATTGGGAGCGTGAAGCTCGGTGGCAGCAGGGAACACAGAAACGGCTGGTAATGGCCTTCAAATGAGAAACAGCGTTCAGCATTGCTTTGCTGTGCCCTGGATATCACATGTACTCATGGATGAACTCAGCTCTGGTAGCAGGAAACTGTGAAAAGGACGCTGCTGGGACCTGGTCTGGGCTCTGCCACCAGCTTCCTGAGTGACCAGGTAAGTCTCTGGCTCTTCCTGGAACTCTTCCTCCCCCTGGAGGGAGGGAGGTGACCTAGGCGACAGCTGACATCCCCTCTTGCTGAAGTCTAGAGGACCCAAAGCTCCTCTTCTTAGTGACTTAACATGTTCACAGGAGGAATTGCGGGGATAGGGGTGGGGGTGCATTTTTGCCGCCAGCCTGTCCTGGCCTTTGTGATTCCTGAAGGTATCTGCATTCCCCTTTTGCACTGTGCTCAGTGGTTTCTTTGGCAAACCTTCCTGCAGTCCTAACCACCACTAAGGATATTTTACAGGTTTGATACATGCCGAGTTTGGATTTGGCAATGTTGTCAATGCACGAGGCTGAGCACCCAGGACAGGCAATAATTATCACGCTGCTCAGCAGGGGTGCTGTCTAACAAGAGCCCAAATCCTGGCAGTGACCGCAGAGCTTAAAAACCTGCGCTTCTTGTTGTTTTTCACCCACCTTCCCGGGTGCCGCTTGTAGACATACGGTCATTGGCACACATGTTCCTTCTGCTACTGGGAGGTTTCAGCTCCTCAAGTCACTTTCAAAGAGGCTGCCCTTGCTTCTGGATGTGTTGTGTACTTAGAAGCATCCAAGGGCTGCTGATGGTTTCTTTTACATTAATTTACAGGCTGCCATGCTCTCACTTTCTTGTAGCTCTGAGATGTGCATTTCTTTGCCTAGGCTACTGACAGCTGGGAAAACTGCATTCAGAAACAAGGGGAGCTTGTCGGGTTTGACACAGCAAAGCTTATGTACCTGTCTAAGGGAATGTGACCTCCAGCTGTGTTGAACACCCTGCTCATTACTCAGGGCTGCATCCCAAATATATTCTTCCCCTGGGACCACACTAGAGGGACTAGGCAGCCACTGAGAAAGAATACAATCCTAAAGCACTAAGATCCAACCTACAGAGCCCCCAGGGCAGCTGTCCCGAGCTGGTCACTCTGGCGTCTCCCACTGGCCCAGGAGAATCATGTCCTGCAAGGGCCTGGCAGAGAAGGTTCCATCCACTCACCAGTCATGTTGTCTTCCTCTGCCTCTTCCTCCTCTTGGGGATCCTCTGGGAATGGCAGGCAGAAGTGGGGAGACAGGCTGCTGGGGATTGCCTTACCATTTATAGAAGCCTCTCCCACACACCCCAATTAGAATTCTAATGAGGTGGGCGAGGCACCAGGTCATTCCTGTAGTGCCTGTAAGCGTTTCCCTTACGACATACTCGTGTCACCCAATGGAAGGGCATCCTGCTTATGCAAGACCAGCTTGGGAAGGAATGGGGAGATAAGGAAGAAAGAGTCTGCTTTTATGATTTTTCTCAAAGATGAACAGTTCTCTGGGTTGTAGGGTTTAGGAAATTATGTCATGCTTTCCTTGCAGTATCTTGTCCAGAGTTGGAGCTGTGAGGGCTCTAAGAAATGTCTCCACAGAGCCCAGAAGCAGAAATCTGCTTAGTCTTTTCTCACTATACATACATATTGGTGGTTTCCACTTGCATCCAGGGTATGAAATGCTCCTCACAGCTCACCTGGACAGGGTTTCAGTGTGGCAGGTAGGGCATTTGGATTGGAGTTAGAAGCACTCAATGCCAACGCTAGCTGGGCCATCACGGAACCTCAAAGCCTTGGAAGCCTCGTCTGTAATTGGGGGCACACCCACCCTTCTCAGCTCACTAAATAGAGGGAATAATCAAATGAGGTGAGGCAAGTCAAAAGTGCATGAGTGTGTACCACAATGGATTAAATCCAGATAATATCTGGATTTGAATGTCAGTTTGATTCCAGATTGGGGAGGAAACTGTTCTTTTTAATGAGGCAGTGGCGACAGCCACTGATCTTGTAGTGGTAACGCGGTTTCATCCCGGTCCTGCCACAGGCTCCCTGTAAGACTGGAGGGTAAATCACAGACCCTTTCTAGGCCCAGGTACTACATAGGTTAAAAAAAAGAAAGGGGAGGGCTGGCCAAGTGGCTCAGTTGGTTAAGAGCTCGCTCAAGAGTTTGAGCTCTGAGTAACAGTGGTTCGATTCCCGGTCTGAGCTGAGCAGCTGCTGAGCTCAGCTTAAAAAGAAAGGGGAGAGAGGACTTTGACATTCTACGTCTTTTGTGTGCTTGTGTGTTGTTTTAAGGGGATATATGTTTTTTAAAGATCCTATTGTGGATATTTACAAGTACAGTAATACCTTGATTTGCGAGCATAATTTGTTCCATAAACAAACTACTTATATTGCAAGACATATTGTTTACCACGTTAAAATGTATTAGAAATGTTTGCTCGTCTTGCGGAACACTCACAAACCACGTTACTCGCGATCCAAGGTTTTACTGTACCAACATTTCCTGTGATGGACTAGGGAGTTAAAAAAAAAAGTGATAATGTTTCAAGGATTCATGACAGAGCACAAATTTCTCAAGGCTTCCCCCAGAGTTCGAGTGGAAATGAAGACCCAGCACCATGATGACAAGATTAGGTCTTTAGGGAAAAGGTGGGAATGCTGGATCTTGAGAAAGGTGAGAATGAAACAGACAGGTGAGTTGCAAAAGAGGAATCGCCATCATTTCTCTGTCCTTGGGGCTCTCACAGCGTTATTAACATTGTAGGACCTCTGTTACCAACTGTATCTCACCAGAGTGACCTGTTTATGTCTGCCCCCATCTCTGGCCTGAGCTCTTTGAAGGTACAGGCTGCATATTGGTCACATCTTCTCAGGACCTAGCATGGGCTGGCCACATGGCAGGAGCACACATATTTTTGAATACATAAATCAACCACTCATCACAGAGATGGAAATAACTACCATCAGTTGAATGCTCACTGTGGGCAGACATGAGCTAACACTTTACACAGATTACCTTCTTTCATCTTTAGATGAAGCCTATGACATAGGTACTATGATTATTGCTATTTTTAGGAGGAAGAAACGGGTGAACCTGATTCTACGCAACCAGGAGATTCACATTCATATGTGAACAACTCCAGAACCTGTTTGCTTAGCCCAGAGGTTGGCTGCCTAGGCATAGGCCTCTAATGGCTCCAAGAGAGAGATGGCTCTGCATCCATGAAGGACAGAATGAGACCATCTGGCAGATGACCCAGAAGAGAGCAAAGGGTAAAGAGGGTTGTGGCAAGGACTGCTTATCCCCAGTTAGGTTTGAGGGTGGGTCCTGGCCCTGCCATGGCACTGCCTGTTACTCTGGACAAGGCCCTCCTTACGTCTAGTCAGTCTTGCCAGGAACCCTGAGAACTGTGGGAATCAAATGGGATGAATGCATGTGAAAGGGCCCCACACACTCTCAAGTGTGTTATAAAGAAACAGGGGTTTGGCTTCTGATTATTACTGTTGTTGTTGGCCTAGGAACCAAGAGGAATTGGACCCTGGGCATTCTTTTCAATGGTTTGGCAAGGCCGCCTGCAGAGGTGACAGGGAGGCAGTGCTGTCCTTACAGAGGAACCCTGAGTTCATACAGATGTAGATCCAAATTCTGGCTCTGCCACATCACCTCACCTCTCAGGGTTTCTGCTTCCTCATCTGCAAAATTGAGATAGAATTGCTGTGAGAGTTAAAGGAAACAACGAATATTAAGTGCTTAGCACAGCGTTAGGCACTGCCCAGTCTATTGTTAGTATTGATACTCTAATTATTCTTATTATCCTTCAGGGAGTCCACAGTCCTGAGTGTTGCAGATTTTGCAGTGGGACTCACAAGCGTGGGCCGTGGTGCCTGACCACTGATCGTGCCGTCTTCCCTGGGAAGGTCTGTAGCTGATCAGCCTTGACCCTAGGATATGTGGTAGAAAGCTGCCCATGTTGGATTCAGACGACCTCAGCTGAAAGCCAGGCTCTGTCGCTTGCCCACTGTGTGACCTTGAAGGAATCCTTCTACTTCTCTGAGCCTCACTTTCCTTATTAGCCTGCCCACACACCTCCCAGGGCTGTAGTGAGGCTCAAAACTAGGAAATGGTGGATATGATGTTTCTTTGCAAGCAGGGTGGTGTTGCACCCACGTCAGGGGCTGAGTTTCCCTCCTCTTCTCCCTGACGCTCCAGCCAGCTCTCCTGTAACCTGGTAAGCTGAGCAGCAGGGCCCTGCCTCCACTGCCTCAGAGAGTCTGCTGAGTCCATTTCATGTTAGCTGCTGGAGGATTGCACCATGCCACGCTGCAGCTGCAGCCCCAACCTGCAGACAGGCCATAATTTGCACACTATGTCACAATTTTAGCTAAACGATTTTCTGTTCCTAGGTGGAGTCACCCAGCTACATGCAGGATGAAATTCCTGCTTGGCCACACTCTGTACCTTGAACTCCAGTTCAGATGCAACATGCAAATGTGGATTTTTTTTGTTTGTTTTTTTTAAAGACCCTAATTGATCTTTGCATTTTTTTCCTTCTCTCGTTAAGGGATTTAGTGTTGCTGAAGATTTTGCAACACGTGGAGAAGCACAGCATCCCACGAGAAGTCATTGGCCCAGACTTTCTCCCAGGACAAAAATCCCCTTTCCTGACACATTTCTTTTGAAAACTCAAGGGACAGGGAACTTACACCTTTCAAAGCAGTCGGTCCTTGTACTAGACAGCTCTGGCCGTAAGATTCATTTCTGGGGTGATTCTCTTTAAGGTGTATCTTCCTCCATTTCATAGGAGCTCTGTGAGGGCAGGAACTTGGTCCGTACCCATTACTGTTCCATCCCCAGTGTGTCCCGGTGCCTGGGGCATGTGGTGGTGGGCTCTCAGTAAACTAGGGTTAAAGTGCATTGAAAGGACCAGAAAGCTCTTCCTCATTTGAACTGAGAATTTGCCTCACTGGTCCTCACTGCTTACTCACCAAACACTCATTGAGCCCACATGAAACAAGTCTGTTCCAATGCCTGACAATGATCATGTTCTTCCCTGAGTCGGCCCCCTACCCCCCGCCCAAAAGTTTTCTCTTTTCTAGGTTAAACATCAGTTTCTTCAACCCGATGAGTCATAATTTGGAGGCTTCTCACCATCATCAGAGCCTCGCCTCTGAAACCTGCAATGGTTCCCCCACGGCCTGTTACAGCTCCAATTTCTGAGTCTGGCATTTAAGGCCAGTGTATGTTCAACCTTAATTCCATTATTTTCTACCACTCTCCCATGAGCTCTCCTATTCAGCAAAACCCGTCTAATCATTTTTCCTGGAACCCAACCCAATTGACCCAACCTCTATGCCTATTTATAACATGCCCTTGCCTGGAATACCTTCCCTATTCCTGCTGTATCCAGGTTTCATTATAAGCAAATCTCTCCCCTCCTCCTGGTCATTCCAGTGGTTGTGGAAAGAGGGTTTGCAATGAACCAAGCAAACCTAGGCTTAAGTCTCAGAGACACAGTCTAACTTGCCAGGAGCACATATTTTTATCATCAGTCAGACCTCGGGCAAATCATTTAACTTCTCTGAGCCTAAGGTTACTCCTCTGCATAAATGGGTATAATGATACATGCATCTCTCACCCTCTAGAGCATCCTGGGGAATCAGGAGATGACATACTTCAAAGTCTGTTGTCAATGACAAGATGAACGGACTTCCCCACCTCTGAGCCTCTGAAACATGCCCTGAGTCACTCATCAAGCACCTAATAATACACGATCTAAATTTGTTAGTGACGAGTTTCTTCAGGAGGGGAGTACCTGAGTCGTCATGGCTGGCCACCATTTCCTGATGCTGGGTTCTGTGCTCAGAGTTTCGCATCAGTTAACTTTTAAGCCTCATGACAACCCTATGAGGAAGATATTGCTATTCCATATTACTTGTATAGATAAGAAACCAGAGGCTTAGAGACACTAAGTAACATGACGGTGTTACATAACCAGTGAGTAGCCACATCAGGATCTGAACCCAGGCCCCCCTCCCTGCCTAGGCCCCATCTATATGGCCCTGTCTCTGACGAATCCTCCAGTTCAGTGACACCTGGGTCTTTCTGGGCCTTTTGTTCAGGAAATTGTTGTTACTCATACTGGTGATGATGGTTTTAATAAGGGCTGAATAGGAAGGCCGGGCCCTGCCAAGACTAATGTCAAAGTCTCAACTTCACTGTATTTATGCCCAAATTTTCCACTCTCACCCAAAGAAAGA